TTTTCAGGTTTTAAATCCCACTTCCAATTTAAGTTGTTATTTCTTAAAAAGGTCTCCCAAGTGTTGAAAAAAAAAAACAGCTCTGGCTGCAATACATACCTTTAATCCAGAGCTGTTTTCTTCACCACAAGGCATCTTTAACATTCTAGGTTGAAGGACAGTGAGCATCACTTAAACTGAAGGAGTTAACACATACTGTGAGTAAAGAGCATCATGGCCCTGTTCTCTGAGGGAGATTCACAATATTGCCCTTAATTTACATTTTATGTATGTTAACATGTCAACTCCACTCTCTGCATTGGTATGAACTACCCAGTGCAGAGAAGGGGCACTGAGGAAAAGGACCCTGTAATGGGGCAAGATCCCACTAAAGACTTTGGAAAAGAAAACTATTATTATTATTATTATACAGTATTTATAAAGCGCCAATGGTTCGCTCAGTGCTGTACATTACAAAGGGGACAGAATATGTGACAGAACAATACCAATACAATGCAAAACATGAGGGGATCGAGGGCCCTGCTCTTTCGAGCTTACAATCTAGGAGGGAGGGGATGGTGGTACAGGAGGAGATAGCTGTGGGGGATGGAGTGGTAGGAAGAGTGGAGGAGGTCGGCAGGTTAGCAGGGGGTGGGGTAGGCTTCCCTGAAGAGATGGGTTTTCAGGGTGCGCCTAAAGGAGAGGGGAGTAGGTGATAATCTGATAGGTTGGGGCAGGGAGTTCCAGAGGATGGGTGACACCCTGGAGAAGTCCTGGAGGCGGGCATGGGAGGAGGAGACCAGGGAACTAGAGAGAAGGAGGTCTTGTGAGGAGCGGAGTGTGCGTGCTGGGCGGTACTTGGATATTATGTTGGTGATGTAGTTCGGGGCAGTATGGTGGACAGCTTTGTACGTCAGTGTTAGGATTTTGAATTTGATCCGTTGGGCAATCGGAAGCCAGTGGAGGGATTGGCAGAGGGGGGTGGTCGAGATGGAGCGGTTGGAAAGGTGAATGAGTCTGGCAGCCGTATTCAGGATCGACTGAAGCGGGGGTAGCCAGCGGCGAGGCAGGCCAGTGAGGAGGGAGTTGCAGTAGTCAAGTCGTGATATGATGAGGGAGTGGATGAGCTGTTTAGTGGTTTCTGGGGTTAGGAACGTCCGTATTTTGGTGATGTTGTGGAGGTGGAGTCTGCACGAGTTTGTTAAAGATTGGACTTGGGGCTGGAAGGATAGGTTGGAGTCCAGAATGACACCAAGTACTCTGGCCTGCGGGGCAGGTTTGATGGTGACGTTGCCCAAAAAAGGCATAAAATAGGCTAATCTTAGCTTTATAGTGGCCCAAAAGCCTAAAATCCCTATTCAGTCTAGTAGGCACATAGGGAGACAGCCTTTTGGGTGGAGAGCATTTCCCAGTCATCCTTCATCTCCTGAGCCTCACTATTGGCTAGTGATTAACTAATAGCAAGGTTTTTAAAACAGGAGGAAGGGTGGGGTCAGGCTCTCAACCCTGAATGTTAGTTCATTGGGGCATTTGTTGGATCTAGGATACTAAAGCAAAAAGGACGTGATGAGGTTGATTTACTAAAACTGGACAGTGCAAACTCTGGTGCAGCTCTGCATGGAAACCAATCAGTTTCAGGTTTTATTATCAAAGCTTAATGGAACAAGCTGAAGTTAGACGTTTATTGGCTACCATGCACAGCTGCACCAGATTTTGCACTCTCCAGGTTTTATAAGTCAACCCCAATGTGTCTGCTGTTTTGCTAATAGACTTTTCTCTCTAGGTTTGCTTTAAAGGCTTGTATGGACATGTATGCCACGACAATAGGAAATGAGAAAACTAAACCACTATTGGATGGACTGAAAGGCTTAAATGTGTTGCTCAGATAGAACAGATCTGGAAATTACTACTCTGGAAATTAAAAAAGTCATGGAGTGGCTTATGTCTATGGCTGATCCAACGACTGCAATTATGTCTATAAAACAGAGTAGGGAGATCCATTGCTGGGTTTGTTTTGATCTGTTTAATGATTTTGATCAAAATCAGACAGTTCTGGATGTAGGAAAGAAATGTAGCTCAAAAGCCTACCACTAACATCCTATTCAAATAACTACAACAGAATTTATGAGCTGTGAGCAATGAAGTAAAATACTTCCTGCTGTTGACAAAGGGGTAAAAAGGCCCCATGGGGGTCATGAAAAGATTTCCACAAAATTAATTTAGATTTTGAATAGATCAACTCAAAAGCAAGTCAGCGTGGGAGTTGTTGACATCAGTTAGAGCATGTCTAGAACCAATAGGTTTTATTGCATTGAATAGAGAAGAGATTGGTTAAACCCCTGCCTTTCTTTTAATGTCTGTGTCCTACCAGAAAGATCTCCCTATGTTTCATATCATATATACACAGAACTAGAAGTGAGATGAATTCCCTCCTAAACAGTTGTTACTGGAACTCATGTCCTGATTAGAAAGTATTGCCTTCCTTACTGCTTGTTCCAGTGACAACTGTAAGTTTTTTGATTTCCATTCACTTTCTGTCTCAATGACAATGGTCTCCAGGACAAAAAGAACTCCTGTATAGACAGAGCAAGCAATAAAAACCGCGGTTCTAACCTTTCTATCTAAAATTCATTAAACATTGTTTTGGCTTTAGATAGAATTTAAAGCTTTTTTGGATAGAGTGGAGAGGAGTTAGGACACGTTAGGTATTTATTGCTGTTTGTTCCCCCATTAGGGAGATTCACTCTCTCTGTTTGTCCTGTTTATCATTGAAAGTGAAAGCTAAAAAATCCCCAATTTTTGGGTTGTCCTCAGAAAAGTAATACTGTAGAGGGGAAATTTTTCAATGGGGACACTAGTTCTGGTAACCTGGAGGTACTCACAAAAAAATCCCTTAACCGCTTCCCAACCACCCTATAGCAGAACTACTGCTACAGGGCGGGAGGTCTGTGCAAAGTCATGTGTATATATATATATATACAGTTGTGTCCAAAATTATTCAACCCCCAATGCTGTAAAGGGGTTTAGGGACTATAGTGTACATTTGGAATTGTATTCAGAATCAAATCCTACAAGGACGTTGTAACTACCCAAATGCAACTAAAATGACATCAATTGTTTATGTAATACAGTAGTAAATGGTTCTTATGTGGTTTCTTCATTGCCACAATTATTCAACCCCTTAAAGACTACCACTCTGAAGAACAGAGGTTCATACAGGTGCTTTCCATCAGGTATTGAAAACACCTGTGGATGTCACCGAGCAGCAATCAAGCATAATAAGCACCAATTAGGCAGCTTTAAAATGACTGTGATACTCAGCTCCTTCTAGACATTTACTGGTGTGGTTACAAACATGGTGAAGGCAAGAGAATGGTCCAGGAAGACAAGAGAAGAGGTGATTTCTCTTCACAGGAAGGGCAATGGCTATAAGAAGATTGCAAAGATGTTAAACATACCAAGAGACACCTTAGGAAGCATCATTCGCAAATTCAAGGCAAAGGGCACTGTTGAAACGCTACCTGGTCGTGGCAGAAAGAAGATGCTGACTTCGACTGCTGTGCGCTACCTGAAGCGTAGAGTGGAGAGAAGTCCCCGTGTGACTGCTGAGGAACTGAGAAAAGATTTGTCAGATGTGGGTACAGAAGTTTCAGCCCAGACAATAAGACGCACACTGCGTAATGAAGGCCTCCGTGCCAGAACTCCCAGGCGTACCCCCTTGCTGTCTCCAAAGAATAAGAAGAGTCGACTGCAGTATGCCAAAAGCCATGTGGACAAACCACAAAAGTTGTGGGATAGTGTTCTGTGGACTGATGAAACAAAATTAGAACTGTTTGGGCCCATGGATCAACGCTATGTTTGGAGGAGGAAGAACAAGGCCTATGATGAAAAAAACACCTTGCCTACTGTGAAGCATGGTGGAGGGTCAATCATGCTTTGGGGCTGTTTTGCTTCTGCAGGTACAGGGAAGCTTCAGCGTGTGCAAGGTACCATGAATTCTCTTCAGTACCAGGAGATATTGGATGGAAACGTGATGCAGTCCGTCACACACCTGAGGCTTGGGAGACGTTGGACCTTTCAACAGGACAATGATCCCAAGCATACCTCCAAGTCCACTAGAGCATGGTTTGCAGAGGAAAGGCTGGAACATTTTGGAGTGGCCATCGCAGTCACCAGACTTAAATCCGATTGAGAACCTCTGGTGGGACTTAAAGAAAGCAGTTGCAGTGCGCAAGCCTAAGAATGTGACTGAACTGGAGGCCTTTGCCCATGAAGAATGGGCGAAGATACCCGTAGATCGCTGCAAGACACTTGTGTCAAGCTATGCTTCACGTTTAAAAGCTGTTATAACTGTAAAAGGATGCTGTACTAAGTACTAAGATTGAATGTCACTTGGGGGTTGAATAAAACTGATAATGCTGTGAGCACAGAAAAGACATTTGTGGTTATTTCATTATAACTGTTATGTTATATTTGTCTGACCTACAAGTGCCTCTTTAATGTAAATGTAAGCAAGATGACTGAATGATCAAAAGCAATGTCAAACTGGCCAAAACACTCAATTTCAGTGGGGGTTGAATAATTTTGGACACAACTGTATATATGTGATTTTTCATTTCCGGGTAGGGGGGTTGGCAGCTACAGATGGCGATCACCGGGTCCCGGATGGAGATTAATTGCCAGCACCCGGTGATCGCCGAGTATCACTGACAGGGGAGAGACCTGTATGTAAACAACACAGGTCTCTCTCCTGCCAACAGTAACATTTTGCTATGTATTTCTCTGCACAGCAGAAAAATACACAACAGTATATTTCCCTAGCAGGGGTGGACTGACAACTCATGGGGCCCCCGGGCAATAGGGGATCATGGGGCCCCTGTGTCCTTGCCCAAACTCTCAAAAAAGCCTATGAAAAAGGTACCAGGGGTATCTCATGGGGCCCCCTACTGACCCCCCGGGCCCTCGGCCAGTGCCCAAGTTTCCAAATGGTCAGTCCACCCCTGTTCCCTAGTAAAACACACACAGTAAAACAGCATACAGCACATAATTAACCCTTTGATTGCCCCAGATGTTAATCCATTTCTGCCCAGTGTCATTAGTACAGTGTCAGTGCTTTTTATTAGCACTGATCACTGTATTAGTGTCATTGAGATGTCAGTGGCAGTTGTTCAGTCCCCCCCCCAGTGTCAAAATGCCTGCCACAGTCTCGCAGTCTCACTAAAAGTCACTGATCACCGCCATTACTGGTATTAAAAAAAAAATTCCAGTATATATACAGCCATTTGTAAATGCTATAACTTTCATGTAAACCAATTAATTTACCGTATTTTTCGCTCCATAAGACGCACTTTTTTCCCCCCAAAAAAGGGGGGAAAATGTCAGTGCGTCTTATGGAGCGAATGTAAAGCGGCCGGTCCGGTATTTTTGCGGCCACCATGTCAGAATACCGGGCCGGCCGCTCAGCTGTCGTCTCCTGCAGGGCCTTACCTGTTCCTCGCTCCAGCGCTGCACAGTCTTCCCGCGCCGGCTTCTGTGACAGCCGGGTGCCCACTGCGCATGTGCTGCGCTTTGTGAATGATCCGGTGTCTTCTGGGATACATGAAAGGTCCCAGAAGGCGCCGGGCCATTCACAAAGCGCAGCGCTTCTCGCACATGCGCAGTGGGCACCCGGCTGTCACAGAAGCCGGCCCGGGAAGAAGAGGGAAGGCAACTCCGCGGAAGTGGGAGCGGGTACCTGTCAAATTCAGGTACCCGCTCCCCCTCCCTCCCTCCCCAAAGGTCAGCAGTCTCTGGTCATTCCCTTCACTGTCTGCAGTCTCTGGTCATCCCCTGCACTGTCTGCAGTCTCTGGTCATCCCTTGCACTGTCCGCAGTCTCTGGTCATTCCCTGCACTGTCCGCAGTCTCTGATCATTCCCTGCACTGTCCGCAGTCTCTGATCATTCCCTGCACTGTCCGCAGTCTCTGGTCATTCCCTGCACTGTCCGCAGTCTCTGGTCATTCCCTGCACTGTCCGCAGTCTCTGGTCATTCCCTGCACTGTCCGCAGTCTCTGGTCATTCCCTGCACTGTCCGCAGTCTCTGGTCATCTCCTGCACTGTCCGCAGTCTCTGGTCATCTCCTGCACTGTCCGCAGTCTCTGGTCATCTCCTGTACTGTCCGCAGTCTCTGGTCATCCCCTGCACTGTGTCCGCAGTCTCTGGTCATCTCCTGCACTGTGTCCGCAGTCTTTGGTCATCTCCTGTACTGTGACCGCAGTCTCTGGTCATCTCCTGTACTGTGTCCGCAGTCTTTGGTCATCTCCTGTACTGTGACCGCAGTCTCTGGTCATCTCCTGTACTGTGTCTGCAGTCTTTGGTCATCTCCTGTACTGTGACCGCAGTCTCTGGTCATCTCCTGTACTATGTCTGCAGTCTCTGGTCATCTCCTGCACTGTGTCCGCAGTCTTTGGTCATCTCCTGTACTGTGACCGCAGTCTCTGGTCATCTCCTGTACTGTGTCTGCAGTCTCTGGTCATCTCCTGCACTGTGTCTGCAGTCCATTGGTTCAGAATATTTTTTTTTCTTGTTTTTCACCTCTAAAACCTAGGTGCGTCTTATGGTCAGGTGCGTCTTATGGAGCGAAAAATACGGTACATGTATTGGGATTTGTTTTTAGCAAAGACATGTAGAAGAATACATTTTGGCCTAAATATATGAAGAAATTAGATTTTTTAAATTTGTTTATTGGATATGTTTATAGCAAAAAGTCAAAAATATTGTTTTTCTTCAAAATTGACAGTCTTTTTTTGTTTATAGCACAAAAAATAAAAAATGCACAGGTGATCAAATACCACCTAAAGAAAGCTCTATTTGTGGGAAAAAAGTACATTAATTTAATTTATGTACAGCGTTGCATGACTGCGCCATTGACAGGTAAAGTAACACAGCACTGTATCGCAAACATTGGCCTGGTCAGGAAGGGGGCTAAATTCTCTGAAGTGGTTAATTTGCAGAGATTTTCTCACATTCTGTTTTGGTTATGAGACAGGACGTTAAGGTAAATCTCCCCAATGGGACACAGATGGTAAGAAACAAACTGATGGGGGTTAAAACCATCCCTTACACCAGCCTTTCTCAACCTTTTCAACGCAGAGGAACCCTTGACATAACTTTCCGGTCTCAGGGAACCCCTGCTAAAATTACTATATCTACAACTCATGATACATTAGTCTGATAGTCAGAGGGAAGAATGCTCCTTACCAGGGGTGGACTGACAACTCATGGGGCCCCCGGGCAATAGGGGATCATGGGGCCCCTGTGTCCTTGTCCAAACTCAAAAAAGCCTATGAAAAAGGTACCAGGGGTATCTCATGGGGCCCCCTACTGACCCCGGGCCCTCGGGCAGTGCCCGAGTTTCCAAATGGTCAGTCCGCCCCTGCTCCTTACACTTCTGGTTGTTGGGAAGAATTACCCCCTTACTGATTGCTAAAGAGATCAATGGTATCAGTGGGAAGTTACCTGAGAGGCAAAAATTGCTCAAGGAATCTCTGGCAACCTCTGGAGGAACCTTAGGGTTCCTTGGAACCCTGGTTGAGAAACCCTGCCTTACACTATCAAAAATTAAAAAAAAAGTTCTGCCTAGTTCTAATGTTTCCTCCAGGTAACTTTAAAGAAGATTCAAGTCAAATTAAGCAACAGGCTGGCATCAGAATACCTTTAGGGTAAGCAAAAAAAAAGTTGGCTATTAAGCATCCATTTGATACTGCAGTGTTCTTGAAAATAATACTGTATTATAAAGCAACATGGTTATGGCTGTACGCCATCCTTTCCCCTCCAATTCCTAAGCTGTTCCTTCCAATTCAATTCCATTACTCTCCATACTCCATCACACTGGATCTTGTCTGAGGACAGCTAGATATCTCATTATTTGTGTTTCACAGTGAGACATTTGAGGCACCTTATCCTAGATTTACATTGTGAAGAAAATTTGTCACTTTGCCCCTTCAGAGTAAAAGGACTGATTCCCTTGCAAGAAATACACCCCCCCCCCCCCCCCCCACACACACACACTCACCCATGGACACTGTCTTTTGCTATGTCCTTAGTCTGGGAGCTCAAATCATATATATGCTTCATATTGAATGGATTCATAGCTTATGCAGAGTTAACATTTTCTTTCTTTCTTTTCAAAACAAGAAAAAGATACTTGGGGTCTCACCAAAATTCCATACCAGACACTTAAACATGCTTGCAACCTGTTAGGCCAGGAAAAGAGGGGTGAACGAGCATGCCCCCCCAGCTCCTGAACTATACTAGGCTAAGTGCCCTCAACATGTACCTGTCAATGATGGTGAGGACAAGGCCCTCTTACCCACAACCCAGCTTCCGCCCCCTATGTGAATGAGTATGTGGTACACAGGGGCGGACTGACCATTTGGAGACTCGGGCACTGCCCGAGGGCCCGGGGTCAGTAGGGGGCCCCATGAGATGCCCCTAGTACCTTTTTCATAGGCTTTTTTGAGTTTGGGCAAGGACACAGGGGCCCCATGATCCCCTATTGCCCGGGGGCCCCATGAGTTGTCAGTCTGCCCCTGGTGGTACATAGTACCCCTAATAATTCACACAACAATAAATAGTAAATGAAAACACACAGTTTTTGACAATTCCTTTATTGAGCCAAAAGAAGAAAAATCCAACTGGGTAACAGACACATCCTACCCTGTCACTTTTTAAAGGTAAATGACATCCTCCAGGCCATGCAGCTAAATGTAAACAAAGGAACGGCATCTCCTGTGTGACGTCATTTGGCCATATTTGGTCAGTGATGTCCCTGCCCCTATGTTTACATGGCCGGGGATTCCCTGTGGGCTCTCAGACTGTCCAAACTGCCTACATCTGGATACAGGTGCTAAAAAAATGTACTTTTGTCAATCCAGTTGTTGCCAGCAGGGTCACTTATGCAGCAAATTGGCCAAAAATTTATGCATGTGTGGCCAGCTTAAGCTAGTCGGCCTACATACATTCAAAAGCCCTTGCAGTGCTCTATGGCTACAAAGATTTTGTCCTTGCAAAATCCCACTTTAGATTGTTGAGATGGTGTACTTCGAACACACTGAACACTGGGTTTGCCTCTAACACTCAGCATTGTTGAAACTAAATCTCATTCCTAGTAGTCACATGCAGTTACACAATGTACTCATGGCCAAGTAGAAGCTCAGCACATTTCACATTTAAAACTTTATATCTGTGAACATTCTGTGACTGATCATACATTATTCTACTCATACCTAAGCTCCTATTACTCCAAAGACAAAACAATTTTCTAACAACAGTAAAAAGCCCTTTACAAAAAAAGTTTATGTTAAAAGCAATGTAACAGGAAAACAGAGGGTGACTTATGTTCATCTGCAGTTATCCGCCTACGTAGTTTACTTTCTGTTTGCGAAAAAAAAAAAAAAAAAAAAAAAATACAGGTTTGTCTGATCACAATTCATTTATTTTGGCCTTGCAGTTACGTTTAGATGAAGCACAATGTAGCTCTGATTTTAGACTCTTATCTTTGAAGTGAAAAAGAGGCTCTATACAGCCAAGATCGATATTTTTACCTAAGGGTCACCAAATCCACATTTTTCTGATTGTTGACTGTGATTTTGTAGAAATGAATGCCACTAGCAAGTGATTACAGCATGAAAAAAAAGATGTTGAGTGGAAAATTGAAGAACACTAAACATAAATTAAGCTTAAACTTTTGAATTGTTATGTAGTATTTGTATCAGAGTGATGGGTGTTTATGAAAGGCCAGAATTCACTTCCTAAGGATGCATATTTTCCAACTGTTCGACTGCACATTAGAGAAAGAAGGGGTTTTCATTTATGAATGAACCCCTAATAATTTGCTGCTGAACAAAAAGGTCTCTGAACAAGTTTACAACAACTTATTGCAAACCTAGAATTCAGACTAACCATATTTTTCCTTCAGTAGAAAAACTTAAAAAGGATCAGTACATATAGGAGGCTGAAGTTATACGTTATCCTAAAGGCTATATTTTGCCTCTTCACCTAAATACACTAGGGTGTCTAGGGGCCCCGGAGTGTTAAAAAATCTGTGCAGTTTCAAATAATGTCTTTAGTTTTAATACATTGCCAACCATGACCAACATGCCCAAAGGCTGCCTTAAAAGCTCCCATCAAAATGATCAGCTGAATCTTGCCCAAGTTCTGGGATGTCCAG